CATCACACAAATCCATATTTCTAATCACCTAATTTCGAAAATTCTAATCAAATCTCTAAAATTCATAAGCCTAGCTTCTTTTATTAAAAACTAACTTCAATGGTATGGATGCTAGGTCGTGGCTCGTGATATTTGACAGTCCATGTGGATGAGGCGAACTGCATATCATTTGAGGAAGCGATCCTGAGGCCAAAAGTTTAATTAGATTTTGGTGGTAAGAAAAAGCTCACATCATGAAAAACAAATTGAAAGGTCAAAAATATTAGAAAAAGATTGTTCACCTGTGCTCCGTGAACGAGCATGTTCATTTGCATTTGCTGACGCAGTTGAAGATGTAGGTGTAGCAGTCGGTCTATCATATATTGCAGAGAAATCGTGTAGCCACCAGACTCACAACATATGATTCACCTTTGCATCCAAATCTTTCACAATTGATCTCAAATTGCTCAATGTAGTCTTGTGAGTGTGAGATCTCTTTCTTTCATTAGAGGAAGTTGACCCTTGGTACCTGCATAAGCAAGAATAATCACCAATAACAAACTAGTTAAAAAGTCACAGGAGCTTCTTCCAAGAGGCCTACTAGCTCAATAATCAAACATTTTCTAATCAGATTTGGAAAAAAGAAACAAACCTTGTACTTGGCAACCTCCTTGCACACTTCCTTAAGGTCGCCCTTGGTGAAAAACAAACAGACACACACTCCGCATAAGCACATATCGTCTTATGTTTCAAGAGCTTCACAGTACAAACACAACTTTCCTTCCTATGATTCGCATCCTTATCGAACCAATATAGCTTCGATTCACAAAAAGAGTTTAATAAATAAAAAAGAACTTGTTATCACTATAGATGTAATCAGCCACACACTTTGAAAAATGAACACATACGAAGGAGAATCGAAACATGAAATATTTTCTCACCATTGATATGAAAATGGCGGATGATAACATCTCGAGCTCTGAGGGTCTACGGATCTCCGCTTCATCTGAAATTGCGAGGAAGCTCGTCTAAAGATTATTCGATGAATAACGAATTAAAGACTTAAATTAGACTAAACTAATGAGAAATCGAACACAGACTACCTGGTCTGAGAGAAAGAGTAGAGACTGTGCTACAGTGAGACGAAGGAGTAGCCAACATCGTCACGAACCAGAGACAGGGCAGTGACATATCAGTCACAAACCGATAAACAAGAAAGCCTTATCACCTTAAGCACCAAAGCCTCACAGCCACAAGCCAACAGAGTTTCAATCCTCGCCGCCGGTTGTCCTTCACCGGGCCCGAACTCGAACCCACCTTTCCAATTGCAGAGGAAAGATTCCCTTCTCCACCACCACCGACTAGATCACACAAATCACCATGGGCGAAGATTAGGCTAAAAACAAAAAGAAAAGACTAATAATCGGGGACCCTTAAGGCCACGGCCATCGCCGGAGGAGAGGGTCTGAAAACCCTAGATCTACTTGTTGGTTTTTCCATTATTTTTTTTCTTTTGAGAAGCACGCTTATGCCCCAATTTTATTCTCCCCAATTTTATTCAAACTTTATAAGAATCAAATACAAACTCGTCGAGAGGTTCCAATTCCACAACCATCCTCCGAAACAAGAGGGACAATACAATTTAGAACCCACTCT